ACAATCATGCGGTTCATTCTCCATGCGCTCTCTGCCCTCTCTGAAGCACTTACACCACTCAAACACATGGGTCTGTGAGAGACACTCTTCCCCATACTGTTGTTGGAGTCTGTGGTGAATTTCAGTGGACTGGACGTTTTCTCCAACAAGGAATTTGATCACAATGCATTGTTCCACGCTCCGTGGTAGCTTCTGTTCTCTCATCACTCTAGTAACTTCCAGACAGGACTGAACAGGTTCTAACCCTAACAGGAGGGAGGGTGAAGGTTGTGGCTTCACTCTCACAAGGTCACACAGCTGCTGTGAAGTGCGGCTTGTTTACAAAAAAAATCAGTCCCGTTCATATTTGAACCACCTTGTATACTGTATATTTCCTTTTTAAAATGTTTATCATATATATTTTTTAATTTTATGTTCAAATTTTGAATCATGGTCGTGCGTATACAATGTTTCTTTTCCGTATTAAAATATTTTGCATATTTGACTCAACATTTCATCATGATTCATGTTTCTGATGCAATACCCAGGATGGGACTTCCCCGATCACTCTACTCGTAATTTGCCTCATCTGTGTACCATCAAAGTGGCCATGAAGAGATTAGTCAGAAGCGTTCACATGTAGCCGCTATCAACGTAATACTATTCACCCAATAAGGGACTTCACTTATTTATTTCCAAAGTCTCCATGAGGTTCGTTACGCTTCTTCATTCACATTAGTGGTGACTAGTCTGTAGTTAAGATTGTTTAGTTTTCTGTAGTCATGCCGAAAGTGAAAGTAAGTCAGAAAACTAAATTACAGCTGTATCAGCTGGAGTTTGAAGGAGAGATGATAAGTACGGATAACGAAATTCTTTATTGCCGAGCATGCGAGAAAACGGTTGTGAAAAACGCTTTCAAGTGCTTCACCATTTTAATGCTAATATACACAAAGAGAATATTAAAATTAAATCCACGAAAAGTGCTCCTGTTCAAAAATTGCTTAGTGAATTTTCTAATAATAGTTTCTCAGAGTTTTCCTTTGATTTAAGCGAAGCCTTTTTAGCGGCAGATATTCCGCTGTGGAAACTAACCAATCCTACTCTGAGAAACTTCATAGAGAAGTATACACAGTGCAAAGTGCCGGATGAATCTACTGTGCGCAAAAATTACATGAAGCAGTGTTACAGTCTTACAATTGAAAGCATTAGAGATAAGATTCAAGATAATTTTATGCGCATATCAATAGACGAAACATAAGATTGTGAGGGATGGTTTATCGCGAATTGTATAGCTGGACCCCTTAATAAGAATGAACAATCTACCCCATATCTTCTGCGGTAGAGCAATTTCAAACCACAAATAGCTCCGCAGTTTCCGAATTTCTTATCAATTCCATGAATTTACTATGGCCAAATGGCATTCAGTATGAGCGCGTATTGCTCTTTGTGACTGATGCTGCAAGTTATATGATGAAAGCCGGTACTGCTCTTAAAGTTATATTTGCAAATTTGACACGTTTGACTTGACTTGACTTGCCTTGCCCATGGGTTGCACTGTGTTGCAGAAACAATTCGTGCAACTTTTCCACTTGTTGACAAGTTTGTGTCTTCTGTCAAGAAGGTATTTGTTAAAGCGCCATACAGAAAAGAAGCCTTTAAAGCAGTAGCACAGAGCGTTCCACTTCCACCAGAACCAATTTTAACGCACTGGGGCATGTGGCTGTGTGCAGCGAATTATTATACCGAACATTTAGAAACAGTTTGGAATGTCGTGAATACATTTGATCCCAAAAGTGCAGCATCAATTCAAATTGCCCAAGATGTACTAAAAAACGCAGAACTAGAAACTAATCATTTCTATATATCTGCTCACTTCTCTCGTCTTCCAGCTGCCATTTATTTCCTCACTGGAGGCAAGCAATAGCAATACTCCATTGTATCAGTTGTTAAGTGTGTTCAAAACCATTGTTTCCAAATTGAATTCGGTTCCTGGAAGAGTTGGTGAAATAGTAAAGGAAAAAGTACACAGCATTCTTTCAAAAAATCCAGGATATGAACAAATTTATGAAATTGAAGAAATTTTAGCCGGTAAACATACTGAACTGTCAAGTAAAAAATCACTAACAGCGGAGCAAATAGCGGCTTTTGTACATGCATCCCTAAGTTCCTGTGAGGTCGAAAGAAGTTTTTCCCGCTATAAGGACATCTTACAAGACAACAGGAGGCGACTAACTATGGAAAACCTAGAACATTTAGTAACTGTGAACAGCAACAGAAGAGAAGTTGAAAGTTCGGAGAGCTAAATGTGAGTACCATTGGTTTTTTAAATTTGTAATGAAATATGTTTGCTTTGTTGCATGATTTGTATTTAAGTATAGCTTTTTATTGCAAGTGAATCATTCAGTGATTAAATAAAATGAACTTAAATATTGATTTGTTGGTCTTAAAATAATGTAAAATTAATTTTAATATTTGGTATAAATTTGTATGTGCATATTTTAGTGCATATTTCCGAAGTTTTTCATGCATAAATGCATACATATTTAAGGGATTATTAGGGCATAAAAATCCGGTCCCTACTTAATATGTAACATCTCAGCTGGATGTTGGTGGTGTTGTAGTAAAGGTT